TTCGTATGTGCTTTAAGGAACAGAGATTTACAGCAGAAGATTTTTGCAAAAGAAGATGTCTCTTTCCAAGATGTGCTATGAGAGGTAACTGTTGAGGAAGCAGCAGGTGGGGCTGTGAAGACCCTACGGCCCACCAAGAGCCCTCCAGAGACAGCTACTGTCCATCAAGAGGATACTAGAGAAGGATCTGAAGCGGATCCTGAAGAAGAGGTGGATAGACTTCACCAGCCAGCTGGAAGGAGGCAGAAGGAACATCTGGACAAGGCCCCAGCATCTCTTCAATGCTTTGGGTGTGGAGGACGCCACAAGCAAGCTGACTGCAGGTTCCACTCCACCATATGCAGAGTGTGTGGCAGGCAAGGCCACATCACATTTGTCTGTTTGGGTCACCAGAAGGTCCAACCTCATGAAGAATTGTGTCTGAAAGGTACCAGGGTCCCTAGCCAACACCACGCAGGAGTATTTTAAGGACAGGGACACATAAGCCCCTTAAGAAGAAGCTTTCCATCAATTTAAGGTTGCAAGGGGTTCCCTTATCAATGGAGTTGGACACTGGGTCCACTCTCTCCATTATTTCTATTAACACATTCAAAAGGATATGCAGCTGCAGTGGCCTTCGAGTAAAATTCCAGCCATCCAATCTAATATTTACAGATTTTCAGAATTCTATGGTGTGTGTTAAGGGGGAGGCCACCCTTAGAGTACAGCATAAGGATTTTGAAGGTCCCCTAGATGTAGTGGTTGTTGGGGGTGAACGTACGAATCTTATTGGACTCGATTGAAATCTCACTGGCTCAAGGTTGACTCAGCCTTCCATCCTTCCGGGGTAGGTAAAATGAGGACCCAGATTGTTGGGGGCAATATAAATATATATATATGCATTGCTTACTGGTGTACACCGCTTAGAGAGTGCTTGCACTTAAAGCGGTATATAAGTCTCATAAATAAATAAATAAATAAATAAATAAATAAATAAATAAATAAATAACTGGGCTGCACCATTTGCAAACATTGAGCCTTGCATAAGTCTGCAAGGAGTTTGCAGATGTGTTTAGTTCAGAGCTAGGATCCTACAAGGGGCCCCCAATTTCACTATGGTTAGACCCAACCATCACGCCCATCAGGGTTAAGCCTAGGAGGTACCTTTTGCCCTCAAAGGCAAGATTGATGCTGAGCTGGACAAATTGCTCCAGCAGGGCATTTTAGAACTGTAAATTCTAGTCCATGGGAAACCCCCATAGTAACGCCTCTAAAGGCTAATGGGGACATACGTTTATGTGCAGACTACAAGTGCACACTGAATAAGGCGCTGCAACAGCACACTTATCCAGTGCCTGTGGTACGTCACATTCTGGCCTCCCTCAAGGGGGGGCACATTTTTGCGAAGCTTGGCCTGGCACAGGCCTATCAACAGCTATCTGTTGATGAGGCAGCTGCTGAGGCCTAGACTATTATAACTCACAGAGAGGCCCTCAGGGTCAAGAGACTGAAATTTGGGGTAAATGTAGCCCCTGGCATATTCCAAAGTGTCATGGAAAGCATACTTCAAGGTATTCCTGGGGTCTGTCCCTACTTTGATGATGTCCTCATTACTGGGGAATCATCTCAAAATTTAGCAGAGAGATTAAGGGCTGTCTTGCTTCATTTTCAAAAAGCAGGCTTTAAACTAAAGAAGGATAAAGGTAAGATAGGAGTCAGTTCTACTGAATTCTTAGGATTCAGGATAGATGCTCAAGGCATTCACTCTGCTGAAACTAAATTGCAAGCTATCCAGCAGGCCCCAAGCCCTAAGTCTAAGAGTGAGCTGCAAGCCTTCTTGGGGCTATTAAATTTTTACCATGCATTTCTCCCACATAAAGGTGCAGTAGCAGAGCCATTATTTAGGCTCTTAGACAAGCAGGCTTCTTGGCAGTGGACTAAAGTCCATGAAAAGAGTTTCAATGAGGTTAAAGCCTTGCTCACTTCTAATGCTATTTTGGCGCATTTCAATGAGCAACTGCCTGTTTGCATCACATGCAATGCATCTCCTTATGAGGTTGGAGCTGTACTCAGCCATCTGAAGGCTGATGGGACACAGGTCCCTGTGGCCTATTACTCAAGGACTCTGTCTTCTGCAGAGCGGAATTACGCTCAATTTGACAGAGAAGCCTTGGCTATAGTGGCTGGCATTAAGAAATTTCATGATTTCTTATATGGCCACCATTTCATGGTCTATACTGACCATAAGCCTCTGCTGGGGTTGTTTACCACTAACAAACAGACCCCACATATCATTTCTCCTCGTATGCTGAGGTGGTCCATTTTCCTGTTAGCTATACATTAGTCCACAAACCAGGAAAAGAAATGGGTCATGCAGATGGCTTAAGCAGATTACCTTTGAACCAATTAGAGCCAGAACCAGCTCCAGCCATTAATATTCTGTCCATTCAGGAATTACCTGAGTCTCCCTTCAATGCTAGGGATGTAGCTGCAGAAACTGCCACTGATCACATGCTTACACGCGTGCTGACATGGGTGTTGTCAGGATGGCCTGACAAGTGCCCAGATATTGAGTTCCAAAGCTTCTGTCACAAGAAGCATGAGTTTTCCACTTTCAAGGGTTGCCTGTTATGGAATAGCAGGGTAGTGATCCCAGCCTCATTGAGGTCTAGAATCTTGATCTCTCTGCATAAGGGACATCCTGGTATTGTCAGGATGAAAGCACTTGTGCACAGCCATCTTTGGTGGCCTGGGCTTGATAAAGCTATTGAGGCCCAGGTGCATGGGTGCCAAGTGTGCCAACAGTCTCGGCCTGAAGTGCCTCAGGCACCATTACATAGGTGGGAGGAAACTCAAACCCCATGGTCTATGGTGCATATAGATTACACTGGGCTCTTTCAGGGGCAATTTTTCCTGGTTGTTGTTGATAGCCATTCCAAATGGCTAGAGGTTGTTCCTGTTTCCTCCACTACTACTGCCAGGACCATCCAGGTGTTGAGAGGAATTTTTGCATCACATGGCCTTCCAGATGTTCTGGTTTCAGATAATGGCCCTCAATTTACCTCTTCTGAGTTCCAGGCTTTTCTTCAGGCCAATCTGATCTGGCATGCAACATTGGCTCCTTTCCACCCATCCTACAATGGACGGGCAAAGAGAATGATGCGCACCACCAAAGATGCCCTCAAGAAACTGATTTACGGTAACTGGCATCATAGGTTAGCAGATTTCCTTCTTGCATACCGCACCATACCATGCACTGCTACAGGGAAGAGCCCTGCTGAACTCCGCTGGGGTCGCCGCCTCATCACTAACCTGGACAGGTTGCACCCTGACTGGGTGGCTTCACAGGTTTCACAACCGCAAGCACCTAGGAGACTCCAAGTGGGTGATATGGTCTGGGCACGGAACTATGGGCCTGGTCATCTCTGGGTCACAGCTGTGGTCTGCAAGGTCTCTGGGACGTTGCCATATGAAGTTGCCTTGGGAGATGGCCGTGTTCTTCGCAGACACATAGACCAACTGCGTTGGAGACTGGACTCTCACCCTTCTGCTCCTGGCTCTGCTCTGGGAGGGGAGGAGGACCATAACATGCATTCTGAGGTTCAGTTTCACAGGCCTAACAGGCCATCACTAGCTGCTACTGAGGCTATTTGGGATTCATCCCAAGGTTCTGCAAGTGCTCCTAACAGGAATTCACCAGATAGGGGGTCATCCCACACATCCATAATTACTCCAGACAGGGAGTCACACCGGGGGTATCCACAGTATTCACATATGTCAGATAGTGCTCCAGAGAGGGAGACTGACCAGGGGTATCCACACAAATCACAAGCAGCAAGAGAAAAAGAATTCCAGCAGGGGTGCTTTCCAAATTCCGCAATTGCTCCCAGAAGGAGGTCAACAGCAAAGGGGGTTGCCATGGAGGCGACTCCTGATTCTGGCACCTTGGGCACATGTTTGGGGGCCACAGAGTACTGGGCACTTCTGCTACCCAGCACTCTCCATCTGCTGGCCTTGGGTTCGAGGGAGAGTGTTCCCAAGAAGGGTCCATTGTGGACCTGGGGACTTCCACCCCTCCAAGGTATGCTGGCTTGGACTTAGAGGGTCCAGCCAGCTAGCAGATGGGCGGGTCAACGGGGTATTTGGGGCAGCAAAGTCCTGGCCTGCCTAGCCTGGTAGGCGAGCAGGTAGGCCAAGCACCCTTACCAGGGTCACCTGGGAATTTAAGGCAGCAACACCCCGGCCTGCCTTGCCTGGTGGGCGAGCAGAGGGGCCAGGCAATCTCTCCTGGCCCTAGGAGGTCGCAGTAGGCCAGGTGCCCACCCAAACATCTTACAGAATTTGTGAAGTTGCTGTCAAGTTCGAAGGGTTCTGTGAATGAGGGCCCTGAATAACGGGTAGACTATTTTGTATTATTTTTTTGATTTCGGATACATTTATTGCTTAACAAAGTTGAAGGGGTTTGCCTAAGGGAACCTCGAGTATTCCATATTCCTTGCATTTGATTGATGAAACTATATAACTCTCCCAATGTATGATGTACATGTGTGTGTACAGATATGTTCCATCTAGGGGGGAGGGGTGTTGTGTCCTGATCCTGCAAAAGCAGGCTCGGGACGTTGCATTGGTTCTGGGCATTCCAAAAGGTGCCTGGGACCAGACTGAGTGGTGCCGGCCTTGTGCGCATGCGCAAAGCGCGAAAACGCTCTGTTACTTTGTTTGTCATTGTCTGGGTCTCTGGACACATAAAGAGGCCTGCATGGCTGTTTCCGGTTGTTCGGGTGTCGCTTTAAGAGAATAAAGAACTGTTGAACTTTGCCATGTTTATTCATCATTCGCAAGTGAACGGAATATTTAACACCCATGGTCACATGATCAAAATTGAGAGGCTTAACCATTGACTGATATTTATGACAGTTGCAGTGTCCCAGAGTCACGTGATCCCCTTTTTGCAACTTTCTGACAAGCAAAGTCAATGAGAAAGCCAGATTCGGTTAAGAACCATGTTACTAATTTAACAACTGCAGTAATTCACTTACCATCTGTGGCAAGAAAGGTTGTTAAATGGGGCAAAACTCACTTAACAAATGTCTCACAATTTTGGGGTCAATTGTAATTGTAAGTCAAGAACCACCTGTATTGTAAACTATAAAGTCAAATGGTGTTTTTAAGTCTGAAACTGCCGATTGAATTCTGATTGCCACACTCAAAATGCCACCAATGCCGCAATTCTCTAAAGTTCATCTCATTCCTGTTGCATAAGACAGTGCTGGAACTATTTCTCCATTCATTGTCTCAATGTAAGGTCCCTTTCCTTTTATGGATTACATTCTGGACAGCTTTTTTGACTTCGGCATTCCTAATTGTGTATATGAAAGGATTCAGCATTGGGGTAAGAGTGGTGTTCAGAATCGCCACAGTCCTTGTCAAGCGGTATGAGGACTGGACGTTGGGCCTCACGTACATGAAGACAAGAGCTCCATATAAGATGGACACTACCAACAGGTGAGAGGTGCAGGTGGAGAAGGCCTTCTTCCGCCCTACAGAGGAGGGAATGCGTAGGACGGTGGCAATGATAAAAATGTAGGACAGAATCATGAGAAATAAGGTCATAATCACAACGACAAAGCTAGTCAATATTCTGAGGGACTCAATGAGATGAATATCAGCACACACAAGGCTCAACAGAGGACCAATATCACAGAAGAAATGGTCAACAATATTGGACCCACAGAATGGCAATGTCCAAATAATAAAATAATGAAAAAAGATAATCCCAAAGGCAGCATACCAGGTGGCCAAAGACATTTGAAAGCACATGTGCTTGGACATAATGATGGGATATTGAAGCGGCTTGCAGATGGCCAGATAGCGATCAAAAGACATAGCTGTGAGGATGAAGAGCTCTGTGGTACCAAAACAGAAGTGAAAAAATCCTTGAGCCAGACAGCAATGGAAGCAAATGGTGGTTTTGGCTTCTATAAACGTCTGTAGCAATTTGGGTACCACAGTGGAGGTATAGCAGATCTCCAGGAAAGCAAGGTTGCTTAGGAAGATGTACATTGGTGTCTGAAGTCTTGGCTCAATTGCTACAATGATAAGGATGAAGCCATTCCCAAGGATGGTTACAAGGTACATGAATAGACCCACCACGAAGAAGACTCGGTGAAGATCATACAGAAAGGGAATTCCTAATAGGATAAATTCACTCACTCTAGACATATTCCTAGACTCCATCATTTCAGAATTGTCAATGATTTCTCAGTGGTAGCTGAGATGACATATAGCATTTCAAAAATTATTGCTACCGTGTGCATTATATATATATAAATAAGGTTAAGAAATGGAATCAAATGAAGAAAAAACTCAAAGCAGAAAAGAAGGGTGTAGGAAAGAAGCACAGGGCATTTAAAACTTCTGAAATGTTCTATTTCTCTAAATTTGTCTGTCTGGAAAATTAACTAGTATTGTTATAACATCTACACATTTAAGTGAAAAAGGTATTTCATTTCATCATTTGTAATACATTACACAAGGAAGTATGTGAAAAGTCAAATTCAGGTGCAGAACATTATATTTCAGTGTTTGGACTGATATTTCAGAAGTTACACTGGCCATATTCTTTCTTCCTGAAATAAAAGAAGAACACATTTAAGGAGAAAAATATCTTACTAAGTAAAGGAGGTCTCAAAAGTGCTTTTTCAAAAGGCAACTGGACTGTCTTTATTTTTCCTTGAAGACATTTTGCTTCTCATCCAAGAAGCTTCTTCAGTTCTGGCTAGATCAGTGGTTCTCAACCTGAGGGTCGGGACCCCATTTGGGGTCGAACGACCATTTCATGGGGGTCGCCAAACAAGGCTGTCCGCCATTTTTCCCCCCTTTTCTTTGGCCACGCCCCTGGCACCCGGTGATGTATAAGTAGTTGGGGGTCACCACAATATGGGGAACTGTATTATGGGGTCGCAGCATTAGAAAGGTTGAGAACCACTGGGCTAGATGATCATTGGGGGAGAGAAGGGATGGAAGGATTAGTTCTTCCTGTCAGAATTAATCTTTCCATCTTCCCCACCATTCAGTCACAACTGATGAAGCTTCTTGGATGAGAAGCAAAATGTTTTCAAGAAAAAACAAAGAAAGTCCAATGGCCTTTTGAAAAAGCATCCTTGAGACAACCATGGCTTGGATTACTGAGAATCTCCATAGATAAATAAAGGAGGGTAGTTAATATGGGATGCATCACATAATATTTTGACATACAGGACTGATACCTAAAATCTCATAAGAGAAGCATCTTTACATGCTCAGATTATGATTGTTAAAAAAGCAAAAGGAAGACTAAAAAAGAATAGCCATCAAAATAGCGATATATTAATTTTATCTGAATAATTAGAGAAACTTTTATCAACACCAGTCTTATTCTTTGAACCTACTATAAACCTTTGGGTGTGCCAATCAGATCAAATAAATACAAATAAAATTGTCCAGTGTCCATGTTCATAACTTGTATACGTAAAAAGTGGTATATATTTGTATATAAACGAAGAGCCAACTCTAAATTGAAGCAGATTCTCTTGTTAGTGATTTCTGTTATTATTATTTGACTGTCAGGAGGGTGATTTGAACTGCCTGGAACCACGATTTGGGCATTGTGAACCTTGACTTACCTTGGGGCAATTAATCTTAGCTTCAATCAGCTTTGCTTTTAAACATAGCTTCTTTAAGTTCATATCCCAGTCTCATCTTACTTTTTTAGGGGGGAAAACAGAGAAGAAAAGAAGGGTGGGAGGAGATTGGAGAAAATGATTTGAGCATCAGAGGAGAAAAATTGATAGAATTATGCAGTGGTAACATTAAAAAATAATCAAAATATGGTTCATTTCATCTTTGAGACTTCGGATGTTGTACTTCCTTCCCTCAACTCAAAGCAGCTGTTTCTTTCTCTGGGATCTTGCTGTCACCCTCCATGATCTCATGAGATTCCAGGTAAAGACCTCCTTGATTGAAACAGCCCCAAAGCCAAAGAATTCCTATGTTATGAACTGTTCAAATCTTTAGCAGGTTGCAGATAGTAATCTATTTTTCAGTTTCCAAAGAGGAGTTATTTTTTTTCCTCACTTCTTCAGTTCTGACAAAGCTTCTTGAATGAGAAGTGAAATGTTTTCAAACTAAACAAGGAAGTCCAGTTTCCTTTTGAAAGAAAGCACTTTTGGGGCAGCCATGACCTGGATGACTGAGAATCTCCAGAGAGATTTATAAGGAATTCTTGAAAAAGGATGGTCATAGATCTCTTTATCTATAATGCTATATCAATGAAATAAGCCAGCCAATTCCAAATCATAGAATCCTAAAACGATGGAGTAGGTGGGATTTTCCTTCTCTCTCTCTGTATCTCCATCTCTTGGATCATCATACTGACAATTGCTAGAATCAGGGCACTTATGAAACTCCTGTTCCTCCCTGGCTAGATCTTTGTAGAAAGATGTTCATGGTGGGATTTAGCAAAACAATTCAATGTCCCTTTTTTTTCTGACCTCTTTCAATGTTACACCTTAGATCCAGAGCAATTTCCATGTTGTATCCACTTCACTGGTCTTGAACCTGAGATTTTAAATTAGGTGCAGCCTTGCCAATTTTCATACATCAAAGTTTTACATATTTGAGTGATATGCTTAATCTCAGTAGGAAGATGATCTGCAGTCATGATACAACAATATATTCAACAAGAAAACTGTAGAATCTCTTTTCTTACCCTTCTGGCTGTCATCAAACATGTTCTGAAGATAATTTTAACAGAAAGAGATTCTACATATAACTCTGTTCCATAAGAAAGGATAATGAGAAAATTTTATTTCCTTAATAGGTCCTCAGGGATATTGTAACTGATGTAATAGTTTCCATTAGGCCAATTAGGTGTTTCTCTATGGGTGTCTTCAAAGAACAACTTTGAAATAATGGAAATGAGTCATCTGAACTAGCCAAGCTGAAAAAAAGGGATTGATCATTGGGAAGGCAGATTAATTAGAAGGACTTTCTTTTTGGAGATAACTCTGTCTAGCCCATCAAAAAATTCAAGTGGGACTTACTGAGATTTTCAAGAAGGCTCAGAAATATTCTTGTACATTGAAATGAAACTGGGGACTGTTTCATTGTCAAGTAGTCCTTGACATACGGCCAAAGTTGAGCCCAAAATTTCCTGTTAGAATGTGCAGTCTTATTGCATGAGATAACACAGGAATAAACACAGTAAACAGTGGTCTATATTAAATGGTGGTTTATCTTACAATATCTACAATATCATACACCAGGAACAATATATATACATGTACTAATATAGCAGGATCCAGCAAACCACAGTTAAAGCAGGAAACGGAAAGAAGAGAACACATGGGTGGAATCTTCCCTTTATACAAAGGCTCTTAAAGAGACACAGACCCTGCTGAGTCATCCCCATCATTACATCTTAAATCGTACAGTACATAAGCTGGTTAGCTGTTAAATCAACACCATGACATTTCTACTACTAAGCAAGGCAGTTGAGTTTTGCCCCATTTTACAACATTTACAACAAGACAGTTGAGTTACAACCTTTCTTGCCACAGCTAAGTGAATCACTGCAATTGCTAAGTTAGTAACATGGTTATTAAGTGAATTTGGCTTCCCCGTTGACTTTCCTTGTCTGACATTTGCAAAAGGTTATCACATGACCCTGGGACACAGCAACCGACATTAATACATGCCGGTTACCAAGCAACTGAATTTTCATCACATACAGTAGCTATGGTGATGCTGCAAGGGTCATAAGTCATTTTTTTCAGTGCCATTGTAACTTCAGACGGTCACTGAACAATAACTACATGTAATTCATTGCATTTTTTTTGCTTGTACATCAAATTAGATGGAAGGGGAATCTAGATGAGACCACTGATATGGTCCATCCATAAAATCATATCATTGTAGTCAAGTGGAAAGAAATTGTGTTATTTAAGGCAAGTAAGTCCCTCCCCTCAAACACCTGAACTTTTAAGGAAAAGAAATACAAGAAATATCTTGAGAACATTGATTGATTGATTGATTGATTGATTTTTTTATGCTATCCATCTCTCTAATACCAATAACAATAGCACTTAGATTTAGATACCGCTCTATAGTGCTTTACAGCATTCACTAAGTGGTTTACAGAATCGCATATTATCCCCAGCAATCTGGGTCCTCATTTTACCAACCTCGAAAGGATCGATGGTTGAGTCAACCTTGAGCCCATCAGGATTGAACTACTGGCATTGGGCAGAATTCGCCTGCAATATTGCATTCTGGTCCACCTTGGCTCTTCATGTTGATATTGTAACTCTCGGTGGCTATACTTTGCAAGATAACCCATAAACTGCAACTTTTATTTCAAGAACACTGCTTTGGTCTCACTTAATGAACCATTGTATCAGAAGTACAACCTTCAGTAAGACATTATCCTAATTTATGAAAATCACATAAGCTGCCACATCAAACCAATACTTTTCTGTTGTATCTACTTGTGTGTACAAAACAATGACATTTTTACAATAGCTGCTCACAGTTTGTGTTTATCATTAAAATTAATATGATTTCAAACTTGATTAATATAATAAATATCAATATCTCTTTTGTAATATACTGTTCTATATGTCATTCTTGACAATTTTGTCTTCATTTACAGAATTCAATAAATCTTTATTGATTTGATGTAGAATATTTTTCCTGGAAATTTCAGAGTGATCCAACTATTAATGTGTCATCCATTTCTTAAAAGAAAGATTCCATTATCAAAATCTCCTAAGATTAATTACAATATGATAACTCACTTTTGTTTAAGAGCTCTCAGAGTAATGGAAACTCTCTTGGGAATTTTCCCACTTAGAGATAACTCCCTCTGGTTATTATCAAGCAGTTGGAAGAAAAATGTGGATAGGAAAAGTTTGAAGGAGACAAATTTGGCTATAATTTCTCAGTGGAAATTATAGGAAGTGGCCAGAACTAATGGCCATAAGAAACCTATGGCCATTTCCATATTGTCTCCCAAAAGCATATTTATTTTATCAAATACAGGTAGTTATTGACTGACAATGGTTCATTTAGTGACTTCAAAGTTACAATGGCACTGAAAAAAGTGACTTACAACCGTTTTTCACACTTATGACTGTTGCAGCATCCCCATGCTCATGTAAAAATGATAATGATGATGATGATGATAATAATAATTTGTAAGGGACCTTAGAGGTCATCTAGTCCAACCCCTGCTCAGGCAGGAAACCCTATACCAGTGATGGCGAACCTTTACAAGATCGAGTGCCCAAACTGCAACCTAAAACCCACTTATGTATCATCGGGTACCAGATGGGCATGGTTCATTGGGTGGGCATGGCTATGGTGTTAATGGCAGACTGGGTGGGACTAAAAAGTTCAATCAATCAATTCAAACTTTGGGAGATCTAGAAGCTGAAATTGATTGATTGAAGCTTTTTTTTTTTTTTTTAACACGGTGGCAGAGGCCTAAAGTGAAACGATTTTATAAAACCCAGATGAAGGCCTAGGACTGGGGTGACAGCGCACGTGCCCACAGAGAGTGCTCTACATGCCACCTGTGGCACACATGCCATAGGTTCACCACCACGGCCCTTTACCATGTGTGAAGAAAATCTTATACCATGTATCATGGTTCTGACAGACAGAAACAAATAAAGCAGAACTCCAAGGCTTGCAAGCTCCTCAAAGAACATATTTATTGATAATAAGTATCGGCACATCAAAAATGAAACCAGGTCTAAATGGACACATAACAATCCCCAATACAAAGTTAAGAAATCCCACCTCTAAAGCTATGCAAGCTACTACATTCTTCAATACATCTTCTTGGGCAGGCTTTTCACAAAATGCACAGCCTGCAGTCCCAGGAGCAGCCAATGACCTTGGTTCCCATGGAAGAAAATCTGTGTAGTCTAGAGAAGCACCTGGTAAACCCCCCTCCCTCCCTGCTATGTGTCAATTGAAAATGAGTAGGGAAAGTGGCTGCAGCCATGCTCATTTTCAAGTTGACACCATGGGTGAGGAAAACCCTATACCATGTGTGATGAAAATTCACACTTGGCAACTGACTCATATTTATGACAATTGCAGTGTCTCAGGGTCATGTGATCCCATTTTGCAGCCTTCTGACAAGCAAAGTCAATTGGGGAAGCCAGATTCACTTAATAACCATATGACTAACTTAACAACTGCAATGATTCACTTAGCAACTGTGACAAGAAAGGTTGTGAAAATGGGGCAAAATTCCCTTAACAAATGTTTCACTTAGCAACAGAAATTTTGTGCTCAATTGTGGCCGTAGGTTAAGGTCTACCTGTATATATGGCCATCCATCTCAAAGAAAGTGACTCTGGATGGTGTAGAACTTTAGAGAGTTATAGTTAAACATTCCTTAGGGCCATCCTCACTTCAGGATCACAAGGGACAATATGCATGGGCTTATCCTTGCAAAGTGATGCCAAAAGGTAGCAATTAAAAAAATATATTAACAACGTCTGGTTTGGAGTTTGACGAAATGGTGGAAGAAGCCGGAGATCTGGCTTCTTAGCTCGATTTCGTTCTGCCTGGTGACCCCAAGCGGTCGGACAGTTGCCCTGGAGGATAAGGGTATGGCTAGCTGATGAGAGCTAAAAAGCTCGAAATAGCTATTCTAGTCTCCCATTTAATTCTTTAACTCTTTGTCAACAAAAAGAAATTTGAATTTGTTGTGTATCGCAGTAGTGACTTGAGCCTGCTTAACGCTTCTAGGCTGGGGCTGCAAGGCAAACGTGATCATAATAGTAAAACTGTGGTTTAGCAGTTACAAAAACCAAGATGCTTCAATCAGACTGGTTTATCCAAAAAATTTTTTACACAAACACACACACACACCTTAAAAATCACATAATCAAAGAGGGGACAAAATAAGACTCTAAAACTTTAACCACATCTGTTTTGAACTCTTTCCTAAAATGTGGTCAGCCTGAACATATTTAT